AGGAAGAAATAGTAAATTTGCACAATGGAGTGATATAAAGAGTGGGATCCCACAAAGATATGTACACCAGTGCTTTTAAACTTAACCTTAAATTATCTGGAATTAAAAATTAGTAATGAGGTGGTTGAGTTGCTCATGACACCAATTTTTTCAGGTAGTTAAAACAAAAAGGGATTGTGAGAAACTCCAGAAGGACCTCTCCAAACTGGAAAAATAAGGATCAAAATGGCAAGTGTGGCCAATGTAAACAAATGTATTATGATGCAAATTGGGACAAAAAGGAATAACCAAGAAATGAAAATATCAGCATGGTCTGCAATTGCTGTGAAAAATGCAAATTTCATGTTGGGCACAATTAGGAAAGGAATCGGAGGGAAATCTTCTGCCCTTATATGTACAGTGCTGCAAGGCTTGGAATACTGCGTATAGTTCTGTGCACTGCAGCTGGAAAAGGAAATAATAGAAATGGGATTTTCATCCCTCTCTTGTAATGTCAGGACCTAAGATCATGCCATGAAGCTGATAGGATGGAAAATTCAGGACAGAAGAGAAAGTTCATGCCAACACACAGTTTTAGTAACATGTCCTGTGCTGTAAGTTGCAGTGATGGCCGCTAATTTGGATGGCTTTAAAAGTGGAATAGACAAATTCATGAAGTGGTCCTGATAGATACATGCTATCTGCAGTATCAGAGGCACTATGCTCGTACACATCCGTGACTGGGAAATAAGACTGGGAAGGAACTACTGTATTCATAAAAGTCTAGTGGATTTGCTAAAGGCACTGTATGAACAGAATGCTAGACTAGGTGGACCCTTGGCCTGATCCAGCATGGCTCTTCTTATATTTTCATTAAAAGTAATAAGAGAAAATTACCACTAAATGTAAAAGCCACTATATAAAATATTTCTCCATACATTCCAAGCAGAGTCTTATAGCACTTGAGGGAAATATTCTGGCTTAAAATCTTGCAAGCCTCGAAGGAAGGAATTTTCAACAGTTTTGGAGCACACTGAAATAACCTGTCCACGTGCCCTCTGGTTTCAACTTGGCAGATGGGCATAGTTAAGAGGGCACTTTTTAAAAATTGCAACAGCACATGAAGGAGTACAATGAGCGATCTGATCTCCGTTTCAGAGCTAATATGCTATGTTCCATTACAATTAAACTAAGCAACAAAAATTTAAAGTGAAACCACCAAACAGAGAATGGGAGTACTGATACTTCTAGCAGCTTGATCTCTACACTGTGCAGGAAGCAAAATACAAGACCCAGTGTTGCCAAGGAACTAGAGTTGCACTGTGCCAAAGAACTAGTAACCACTGGCATTATTGCTCAATGACCGGAGAAAATATACTTTATATCACAGCAACACTGTGCATTGGGTTTTTCAGGATGGAAAGAGGAGAGAGAGGGTCTATGCAACAAATCTCCACTGTCCAGAAAGTTTAGCATCTTTGAAATTTGGATTCAACCATTCAGACTTGAGCAATAGATTCACAATACCAAAGCTACCATATAGAGACTGGGATTCTACATTTTCTGAATCTGCAATATTTCTATCATTAGTATCAGCATCTTGCATTTATATCCTGCCATTTTCTCCTCTTGTAAAGAACCCAAGGTGGCTTACATAGATTTATTTTATCCTCACAAGAACAACCCATGATCAGGTTGGGCTGGGAGTCTGTGGGTGGCCCAAAGTCACCCAATGGGCTTCATGGGCAGGTGGCAAGTTGAACCCAGATCTCACTGGTCCCAGTCCAACATTCTAACCACGACACTGCACTGGCTCTCAATAACAACTGGATCTCAACAACAATAAAAAAATCTTTAAATATATAATAAGAAAAAAAATCTAAAGAAGCAGTTGGACCACTGGACAATGATGGAATTAAAGGAACACGGGGGGGGGGGGGGATGAGGAGATTGCAGATGGGCTGAATTATTTTTTTCATCAGTCTTCACAGGAGAGAATGTACAGCAGATAATTGTCCCTGAGCTTATGCATTCTGGAGGAGAATCTGAGGAATTAAGGAAGATAATAGTGACAAAAGATGAAATTCTCAACCTTACTGTCAAACAGAAAGTCAGCAGATCACCCAGTCCAGATGGTTTGCATCCTAGAGTTCTCAAAGAACTCAAACATGAAATTGCTGATCTTCTTACCAAATGATTTAATATGTCTCTACAATCAGCCTTTGTACCAGAGGACAGAAGAATGGCCAATGTAACACCAATTTTTAAAAAGGGATCCAAGGGGATCTGGGAAATAACAGGCCAGTTAACTTAACATCTGTTCTGGGTAAATTGCTTGAAAGCATTATTAAAGGTAGAATCTGTAAGCACATAGAGCAACAAGCCCTGCTGAAAAAGAACTGACATGGCTTCCACAAGGGGAAGTCCTGTCTCACTAACCTATCGGAGTTCTTTGAGAGTGTCAATAAGCACAAAGACAGGGACGATCCAGTAGACATTGTTTATTTGGGCTTCAAAAAGGCTTTTGATAAAGTCCCTCACCAATAGGCCCCTAAGCAAACTTAGCAGTCATGCAATCGGGCGGGGGGGGGGGATTCCTCTTATGGATCACTAACTGATTAAAAAACAGAAGACAGAGAGTGGGAATAAATGGCAGTTTCTCCCAGTGGAGAGATTTCTCCAGGGAAGTCCCACAGTGTTCTGTATTATTAAATTTGGTGCCCGACAGGCTGTGGTGGATTTAAATTATTAAATTTGGTGCCCAAAGATGGAGGGCCACCACAGAAAAAGCCCTCCCCTTAGATGCCACCCTTTGAGCCTCTCAAGGATTTGGCTCTTGGCGGAAGGCCTCAGAGCTTATTTATTTAATTTATTTACTTCATTTTTGTGCCACACCCGTAGCGCTCTGGGTGACTTACAGTACATATGGTAAAAACAATTAAAACAATTCCATATAAAAATAAAAAATAAAAAATCAATAAAAATAAAAATCATTAAAATAGTAAAAAATAAAATCAGACATTCACTTAATAATAAAACTATTTAAACCACCAAACTAAAACAATAATAATAAATAAAATTATCTGTTGACTAAAATTCTAACAAGGCAGTAGTAACCTAAAATCAATATTATGAACTATTATAAAACCAACCCACTTACCATAGTATTTGCAAGAAAAAAATGTTTTCAATTGGCACCTGAACTAAAAAAGAGAACACCTGGTGAATCCCCAATAAAGGATGTTCCGCAAGTGAAGCACTATTGCAGAAAAGGCCCTGGTCCTAGCTATCTCTCCCCTTGCTTCATTGTAGGGAGGGATTAGGAGAAGGGCCTCAGGTGAATAACTCAGTGATCGAGTTGGGACATATGGGAATAGGCGTTCCCTCAGATGTCCTGACCCCAAGCCTTTGTATGTTATGATAAGCACTTTGAATTTTGCTTGGAAGGCAACTGGCAGCCAATGTAGCTTGTGCAGGGCTGGTGTAATACGTTCACAAAAAACAGTCATTAGTGGGTGCACTGCTCCATTCTGAGCTAGATACAGTGTCCAGATCATTTTCAAAGGCAGCCCCACACAGAGCGCATTATAGTAATCCAAGCACAAGGTTACCAGTACATGAATAACCATAGCAAGACTCCACTTATCCAAGTAGGGCTAAGCTGGTAGAAAGTGCTCTGCCTACCAACTGCACCTGAAAAACAAGTGACAACTCAGGATCTAGGAGTACTCCAAGGCTGCAAACCCTTGTCCTTTAGGGGAACACAACCCCTTCCAGGAAAGCCTGAAAATTCCCCATTTGGACAGACAGCTGTCCCACCAACAGTATCTCCATCTTGTCTGGATTGAGCTTCAGCTTACTGGCCCTCAACCAATCCACTATTGAGCTCAGGCACTAGTTAAGAACCATCACTGCCTTACCTGGATTGGATGAAAATAGGAGGCAGTGCTGAATGTCATCAGTATACTAATGACACTTCAGCCCAAACCTCCAGATGACCTCTCCCAGCAGCTAAGTGTAGTGCCTGGGTAGATTGGGAGAGGGACTCCGACAGGCACTGTAGTCCTAAGCCATGTAGGGTTTTATTGGTTATGACCAGCTGCTTGAATTGGGACTGGAATTCAGGTGTGACAGAACTAGTCTTATTATGTTTGGATGTCTGGGTCCCAATTCTTAATTTGCCTGCCACATTCTGCACCAGTTGCAGCTTTTGAAACATCTTCAAGGGTAGCCCCACATACAGTGCATTGCAGTCAGCTAATTCAGACATTACCAGAGCATAGATTACTGAAGTGAAGTTTTCCCTGTCCAGGTAAGGGCATACCTGGGCTGCCAGTCAAAGCTGGTAGAAGGCACTCTGAGTCACAGATGCCACCTGAGCCTCGAGTGACAAAGATGGATCAAGGTGCATGTCCAAACTATGAATCTGCTCCTTCAGAGGGAGTATGACCCCATTTAGAACAGGTTGTGCACCTGCCATCCAGTCAAAGGAACACCCATTGTATCTCAGTCTTGCTTGGCGTTTCAGTTAGTCCATTATCATACCCAGACACCAGTTTAGCACATTTACAGCCCCACTTGCAGATGACTAAAAGGAGACATAGAGCTGTGTGTCATCAGCATACTGATGCCAACACACTCCAAACCTCCAGATGACCCCACTCAAGTGTTTTCATGTAGATGTTGAATAGCATGGGGGACAGAACTGACCCCCGAGGAACTCCATACCGGAGAATCCATGGAGCTGAACAATATTCTCCAAGCACCACCTTCTGGAGGTAGCTCTCTAAGAAGCTGAACTACTGCAATGCACTGCCAGCCCACTCCCAACTCACCCATCTGCTCTGGAAGAATACCATGGCTGATGGCATTGAAAGCTGCTGAGAGGTCCAGCAATATCAACAGGGCCCCACTCCCCTGTCCTGCTCCTGGCACAGGGTGACCAAGACTGTATCCATGCCAAAGCCAGGCTTGAACCCTAATTGAAATGGATCTAGATAATCATTTTCATCCAAGAGTACCTGAAGCTGATTGACAAGCACCATCTCTGGAATCCTCCCCAGGAAAGGTGTTAGGTCCAGTGCTTTTCAACCTATTCATAAATAATCTGAAATTAGGAGTAAGCAGTGAAATGGGCAAGTTTGGTGATGATACTAAACTATTTAGGGTAGTTAAAACCAAAAGGGATTGTGAGGAGCTCCAAAGGGATCTCTCCGAATCTAGAAATGGGTATCAGAATGGCAATGTAATTCAATGCAAGCAAATGTAAAGTAATGCAAGTAACTACAAGTATAGGATGATGGGATCTCAGCTAGCAGTTTTTGAGCAAGAAGCGGATCTTGGAGTAGTGGTGGGCAGATCAATTAAAATGTTGGCTTAGTCCACAGTTAATGTGAAGAAGGCAAACTCCATGCTAGGCATAATTAGGAATGGAATAGAAAATAGATCTGCCAAGATCTTACTTGTCCTATACAAATCTTTGGTATAACCACATTTAGAATATTGTGTTCAGTTCTGGTCATCTTACCTGGAAATTATTTCCAATATTTCCAATTACTGATTTGGAAAAAGTACAAAGAAGAGCTATAAAAATGATCAAGGAACCAGAACAGCTCCCCTATGAGAAGCAGCTACAACTGGGACTATTTAACTTAGAAAAAAGTAAGGAGAGGCATGATAGAGGTATTTAAAATAATGCATGGCATTGAAGAAGTGGTGAAGGAGATTCCCTCCCCGTCTCATTACCCGAGAACCAAGAGTCATCCCATGAAACTCATTGGTGAGAGGTTTAGGACGGATAAAAGGAAGTTCTTCACACAACATATAGATAAACTATGGAATCTGCTGCCATGGAAAGTAGTGATAGGCACTAATTTGGATTGGTTTAAAAGGGGACTGGGAGGATTCATGGAGAAGGAGGCTATCAGTGGGTGCTAGTCTTGCTGTCTATGTGCTACCTCCTTTACCAAAGGTGGCATGCTAGCATGCACCAGTTGCTGAGGAGATTGGGAGGGTGGAGGTCTTGCACCCATCCTGCTTGAAGTGAGCAGCTGGTTTGCCATGTGTATGGAGTACTGGACTAAATGGACCTTTGGTCTGATCCAACATGGCATTTTCTATGTTCTTCATCTTTCTAGTGTTATTACTCTCATTCTAAAATTATTTTCCTCCTTTTCCTACTGATTTAAAATGGCTTTCATAAAACTGAATGCAAGACAGGAGATTCCCATTGCTAAGTGAGAGGGGGAACACTATTTCTGCAGTACTGGAAGACAAGAAAACCCTTCCTTTGCTACCCAATAACAACACAGTGCAATAGAACATTAGGCTATGGCCTACCCAAAGGCATTTTTGGTTTCATGAAATATTTGACCATAATCAATTGATTATGTGCCCACAAATAAATGCAGAAACAAGAATCTCACTGACAGTCCTAATAATATCATGTAATACCATAACCATAGGAAACTTTTAGCACAGAAGGCTATAAGAGCATCAGCAGCAAGACACTAAAGGAGCTAAAGTTTCACACAGGTACTTGTGTAGGAACCAATCCTGAAAGCTACAGCGCTTATGGGATGAGGACCAAGGTCCTACTGAGGCTTTCCGCTTGTATGCTGGTTTTTACTTTTGTAAATTTCTTGAGATTTATTGTGCAGAGCTGCAAGATGGCAATGTCTTGGGGTGGAGGTATTTTCTTTCTATCTGAGGTAACAGTGCAAATGATGCAAAGAGAGGAAAACATTGTAAGTTTATATATTTTATATGACTTTCTCTGCTGGATTAGAGCCAAAAGACTACAGATGGAGTAGATGTTTGAGAATAGTGTTTATCTATGGCTGTTCTAGAGTATAATAATTTCTGTGAACGCTCATGTGCTATTTTGAGGATAACTAGGTTTCTCCCACACAGTTACTATTTGTGTATTTGGTCTTTTATATAAAAGTTCTGTACAATACTTATAAAGCAGGTAAGCAATGATTAGGAAGCTGGGTTGCCTTGAGCAATGAAAAATGGCTAAAATATGAATTGGAATCCAAAGAATTTTTTCTTTAAATTTGGATTTCTTGGAAATTTGGATTTCCAATTTCATGGAAATTTGGATTTCCTATTTCTTGGAAATTTGGATTTCCTTTCATCAGATATTTATCTTCTAGCTCAACCAAATTCTTCATCTGTTTTGTGTACTGTATCTTTTAAATAAAATCTTCCAAACACACCCATATACCATAGCACCAAAGGAAGCTTGTTGAATTAAGTTAGTCAATTATGTGCCTCAATTTATTTGTTAAATTTGTATTCCTCAAAGTCAAAGGACTCTGAAGGTTTTTTTCCCACATTACTGATTCCTAATTTTTCTGACATAGTGGAAAAGATGGACAGTTACTTAAATATACTATGATGGCATTTGATAAATATGAATTACTTGATGTTACACTAACTGAACATTTCATCCTATTTTTGTATCTACCTAAAATTAAAAAGGGGGTAAATTCTTAAGTAATTAGAAATTGTGTGTATTTCAGAAGGAAATAAGGCATAACTTCATCATGGATCTTTGACCAGCATCTTTGAATAAGCAGCATTTCTTCAGATGGTTGACTAATCATTTTATACATTTTACAAGTTATTATTTTATACATTTTACCAAGTTTTAACATGAAGTACCAGTTCATTTTCCGATTTCTTCAATAACTAAAGCCATCTTGAATCAGTCCAGAAGGAGATCCCCAATCTTAGGAACATAGGAAGCTACTGTATAATGAGTTATACCATTGGCTTATCCAGCCAGTATTGTTGACACTAACTGGTAGCAGCTTTCGAGGGTTCAGACAGGATTTTTTCTAGTTTTCCCTGGAGATGCTGGGATTGAACCTCAAACCTTCTACATGTATATTTCCTGCCAATGCATGGCCCCTCACCCAAATATGAGTACACATAGAAGGCTGAATATGTGTAGCGGGTACATGATTATTCACAGAATGGTTGTCATAAGGTAATGAGAAGTTAAAAGAAAAGTAACCAAGAATCTAAGTAGCCAATGTGGTATAGTGGTTAGGAGTACTCAGGAGATCTGGGTTCTAGTCCCTGCTCAACCATGGAGTGCACTGATGAGGATGGGTCACTTGTTCATTCTCAGCCTAACTTTATCCTCACAGGGTTGTTGCTGTGAGGATAAAGCGGAGATGAAGAGAAACTTATAAGCTGCCTTGGGTTCCCTGCAAGGAGAAGAAAAGCGGGATATAAGTGCAATGTGATAATAAGTAAAAGGCAAGCTTTTCAGCTGGCACAAGAAAGGAACATAATGTAGGTGCCAAATGAGCTTCTCTTAGGCAGGCATTTCACTGACAGGGCACTACTACTGGAAAGGCCCTCTAAAAGCAACACTTTAAACTGGATATGGACCAGCAGCTAGGGCGAATGGCAAAGTATATACAGGCAAATCATTGACCAATCCACATGAAAAATCTAAGCACAGTGTCCTGAATTAGTTGAAATATGAAACATAGTCCCTCATACACAATATTGAAATAATCCAAATGGGAGGTTGCCAGAGCATGAATAACTGTCACCAAGCTATTTCTGTCCAGGTAGGATCATAGGCGATATATCAGCCTTACCTGATTAAAGGTATTCGAAGTCATCAAAGTTACCTGTGCGTCTAGGGACAGTGGTGGATCCAAAAGTAACCCTAAAATGCATACCTAATTTGCTCTACAACAGGATAAAAACCACTCAGCCAGTCAGATGAACCAACCACAACCACTATCTCCATCTTGTCTATATTGAGCATCAGCTTATTGGTTCTAATTAACTTCTTTATGCTGCCCAAGTTTCACTTTTATGTATTAAAGAAGAGGTAGATATGGGTGTCAGCCATATATTGGTGACACCTCTGTCCACACTGCCATATAATCTCTTCCAGTGGCTTCATGTAGATGTTGAAGGATAGAGTCCTGTAGCATAATTGCCAGAAAGCAGATCAATAATCAGCTAGCCCTACCTTCTAGAATTGACCGTGCAGTCAGAGCAGAACTACTGCAATACAGAACACCCACAGCAAAACTAAGAGAGTCTATCCAGAAGGCTGCTATGAAAATGATTGGTGATACTGAAAAATCCAAGCCCTCCCCTCTTTTAGTTCAAGTCCTTCCACAGGACAACCAAAGCAGTTTCTATTCCAAAACTAGGCCTAAAGTCAGACTGAAGTAGATCTGTCCCAATGACTCATATAAATACACAATGTTCTTATAATGAAAAATATATTGCAAATTGAAAGAAAATGTATGGATGAATCAACATATTTTCTTGAATTAGCTGGAAATTGATGGAGGAATGACAGAGATAAATTTAGGCACTATTTGTCCCTATTAATCTCTTCAGATTGAGCTGACCAAGCAACTTCCAACCAAATACCACCAAGACTACGATTTTAAGAGAAGTGTTGCCGACATGACTATCTCAAAGCATATATAATTTTATCTTGGGTCATACAAAATAACTGTGTCAGAATTCCATTTCATAACTATTTCTCATTACACCAGTTGATAGATACTGTTCTACATTCTATGACATTCTTATGATTATATATATTGTTTCTCAGTTGAGGGACCCTGTCCTTTCTTTACTGAAAGCACTTATACATGCTCTTTAAATAATAGTCTGAATATTAGTTCACTTTTAGCCCTTGCTGACTGTTGATTTTTAATGATTAGATCAGCTTTATAATAGCTAATTTAAGAAAGAATTAAAAAGAAAGAAAATATCTGTCACTTGAATGGTATCTGGATGATATCAAACAATTACATTTAGAAGAATCTCTATATATCTGTGAGTCTGGTTTTCTACTTCTTTGGATCTTCTCAAGCACCCAAGATTTGTTTCAACTGGTGAAATATGAAAACAGGAAACAAAAGAATCTCAGTATTTATACTGAATTCCCTATTAAGCAGTATCCACACTGTTAAATTATAAGAGCTTGTTTACAACTGTAAGGATGCCCTTTATCATTATATAATTTATCATCAGTCAGACCAATGAAATCAAAATGATATGCAAACTATTTACATAAGCACTCTCAGCACAACCTCAACTTATGAAACCTAGTAGTAATTAAACAACTACCTAATATTTCTTCTAATCAATTAAATATAACTTTAAAAGTGTTTCTTCTTCAACAGATGGGCTCTTTCTGTTGTTAAAGGGGGTTGTGATCCAGCAGCAGGCCCATACTGGAGGAAGGGGACAGGGCAGAATTTTTTTTTTTTTTTTACTGATTCCTCCTTCCTCCTGCAAGCCAGTCCACCAGCTTATAGGATGTGTTACTGGGATTCACAGGGAATTGGAGGTGGTGGGGGAATCAACAGAAATCCATCTCCTTTCCAATTATTTGAGTTTTCTGGGAAAATTGAATTAAAATATTTCCAGGAAAAAAGCAATATGAATTAGGTTAATCTGGGCAGAGCCCTTTCGTATCAGAAAAACTGTTCTGATTCCCCAGATGTACCTTGTTTGTACTACAAATCCCACCAGCCCCACTCAGCATAGTCACTGTTTGGGGATTATGAGAGTTGTAGTAAAAATCTGGAGGGCACTAGGCTAAGACAACCTACTCTGAAAAGATGTAATGTAGCATGTTTATTTTACTTGTCTTTAGTAAACAACTCTTTAAAAGTACCTCATTTTGGGCCCAATGTACCACCAGTATTTGTCCTGAAATGTTTGAGGGAATTAAAGAATTGTATTATCGTATTATATAGAAGTGTTAACTAGAACACTTGTAAAAATGTAAAGACAATAGCATGCACATGCCTGACGCTGCTTAAATGCAAAAACATTAGCAAAAACACTGACACATTAATTCAGCTTTCCCCAGTGTGGTGCCCTCCAGGTGTGTTGGACTACTACTCCCAGCATTCCAGCCATGCTGATTCCGGTTGCTGGAAGTTGTGGTCTGACATAGTTGAAAGGCATCAAGCTGGAAAGTTTGCACTAAAATTTTTCAGCAACCTGAAGAACTGTGTAGATCTATTTTAACAGAGTCCAGCTCTCTTCCACTGTTATTGTTGATACTTCAATTTTGCTATCCCTACTTAGTTCCATTTCACGCTACAACATATATGTATTTCAATGTCACATACATATTTTCTCACATGCATGTTAGTGATTGTCAAATGGAAAGCATTAATTACAACTTTTAAACTGCCAGACCTGCCTAGTACTGAATTTACAACTGGCATATATTCAGTATTACTAAAGAACTTATGAAATTGAAAAAATTCCATGTAAAATTAAAGCACTAGAAAATGTTTCACCATACTTAAGTATTGCCCCTTTTACCCATAGATCCAGGTGTCAGGGTTCTACTCTGTGCAATTCTAGAATTAGTGCATTGAATTTATGCAAAAATATAAGTTGCTTTCTATTTTAGAAATGCCATCATATATAGCTAAAAGCCTTCCTCCCCCATTGTGGAAGACATAATACCCTCAATATAAATCAGCATGGATGTTAAGTTCCTGAGTACAAATCACTGAATGCTCCTATAGGTAGAAGTGCATTTCACCATTTCCCCATACAAATCTGTTCTAGAGGACTGGCAGACCCTTGAGAGTAGCATGGGAGCTGACTCTGGGATAAGAAGATATCAGTGAAAACTCTCCTATGCCCACTTTGCTCTGCAAATGGCAGCTTCTGTTGGATCAGGAGCCACTTCAGGAAGAAGTCCATCATCCATTCATCTTTTACAGATTTTTCACAGATGTTCCAACCTGAACAAATCCTTATGAAAAGGTAGGTAAATATCAAGACTACTATTCCACTAAGTCACACATCTGCCAGTTCTACTGAAATCCAAGGAAACTAATTTGTGGATAACTCTGTAAAATCATAACCCAAGTTTATAACTATGAGAAAATTAATATTCTAAACATTGTATGCTGAAAATAAAGCAAGTTTTTTCACCAAATCATCTGGTATTTCAAAATCTATTTAGCATGCAAACACAACTGCAAACTAAGACTAAAAACCCAAACCTACTATGCAATTATAGAAGAGAAGCCTCTTTCAAACTTTAATGCCCAAGGAAGTATAATTATATAACAAAAATAATCAATGGAAAGATCCTATAACCTGAAATATCTATAGGGTTGGAGGTTTTTTTACAGGCTCATGTTAAAAAAGAATGGTATGCATTTTCTTGCACTCTAGAAATGGATCCCAACATTCTAGTTAAGTCACCGCACAAAAGGGCCTCACAAAATGTATCTCAAAATGAATTATCTTTTGCATTTACTTATTTCAGCTCCAGTTGCTACTGAAAACATATTTTTAGTTGACACTAAAAACATATTCCACATTTTAGGAAATTCTTATATGTAGAAGTGAAATTCCATTTGAATTTTTAGCTTGCAAATGAAGAGCATGGATTTCTCACAAGTCTTATGATCATGTCTTCTACAAACTCCAATATATTGCATATACGGACAGTAACCAGATTGAAGGTAGGAATGGAAAACGAATTTGATCATGATATTTAGTCCAGTCACAGATCTGACATCACCACAGTCAAAAATAAAGATACAGTTATTGCAGTAATACACAAATAACCACACATTATTGCCAACAAACATTTTTCCAAAATTCATATGGATGAACAATTGCAATTTAATATCTTATGCTTGTATTCCTCTACTGAAGTAATTTCAAATGGACTCCTGGGGAAGCAACATTATGCCAGAAGAGTTCCTAAGTGGTAGGTTTCTTAAACATGTGTCATGGTTCAACAATGTTTAGCTGGAAGATAGCTACATAGGTAAGTTCCAGTGGCTACCTTGATCTAGGATTCACTCCAGGTTCTACTTTATTCATGATAAATATTGTCACTAAATGACAATTCATGATAAATATTGTCAGGGTATTGTCACTAAATACCCTATTGTGGTCTACTTTAGGCATGCTCTCCTCATGGCTTGCTTTAATAGTAAGTAAAGTTGCTTACTTTAATAGATAGCTATAAATACATACATGCAATTTATCAAAGACTAGCTGTGCAGTCCTGCGCAGGTCTACTGAGTTCAATACAAGGCAAGTCTGTATAAGATTGCTGCATATATGGTGCTATGTGTACAGGGCCAATCAAAGTACAAATGAAAGAACCACACAATTCTTTTTGTAGAGGAGAGTAACCCAGAATATATAAGCATTTAAATAGCAAAGGCGGGAAGTGGATGGCCTCAACTGGTATATGCATTACTCAGTTCCACAATTCAATGCCTGAAAAAGAAATATATTCTAGTGCATGCTGTTGGGGGATTAAAATTACTCAGGGTCTGGGGAAGTGATGCATTTTTTGCAGCCTGATTCTAGTCATCTTTACTCAAAAGTACATTCTGTTGTGATTAATGGAATTTACTATCCTGTAAATGTGCATAAGCTTGTAACTTTAATCTGTTTCTGACAATTATTCCTATGCAGATTGAAGCCGTCTGGTAAACTGGAAAAAGTCAGACAGCTTTACTTCTACATATCTGTTGTCAGGGTCTTCTGCTTCAAGGCCTCTTGGTCTCTATGTGACTTAAGGCAACAGGTTTGAAAATAGAAGAGGAAAGTGCTGCAGGACCCTTTATCAAAATACAGTGTTTGGAACATTAGAACTGCTTGTAGATGGATGCATGTTAGGTGGCTGCAGATGCCTGTTGTATGGATCTGTCAATCCCTTTGTCTCTTCTATTTATCAGCCTCACTTCAAGAATCCTAGGAGCTCCTTTGATAAAACAGGAAGCAACTAGAGTTGGGGCTGGCACTTCTGATCCAGCTGTCAATTCCAGGGTCAGGTAGTTCAAGGGGCTTATGGTAGGGGTCACTCTTTGAAGTCATGATTGTCCCAGTGTCAAATATTTGAAGGGTTGTCCGTGTGCCTCTCTTAATACCCAAGGTTATAAAATTGGCAAGAAAGAGACAGAAGCAGGGAAAGAAATCACTCTGGACCAAAGGTTTAGGAATCTGCATTTCAGTAAATCGGTCAACCCTACAAGTTCCTTTGTCTGCCAGGCTCCCCCCCAGCCCGTTTCTTTTATTTTTTTAAAAAAGAGGCCACCTTTGCCAAAGAAGAAGAAAGGTGGGGTAGGAAGCACTGCTTGCTCGCCCCATGGCCTCTTCCTTTGTTTGCCTATCTTGTCTTGCCTTGAGCTCCTCGACCTACGAAGGCTCGGAGGAGCAAGCTGGAAAGGGCTGAAGAGTTCCAGCGAGGCCTGCTTGCCTGGCTGCGCTGCTGCTGCCCACAGCCGGGTTCCCGACTCGCCTTCTCTCGAGCAGTTGAAGGCCCGTGCGAGCGCGGCCGGTGAGAGGAGGAGGAACCCGGATTCGTCCCCCGCAGCCCCGTTTACCTTACATTCTTCACATCCCCAGGCCCAAGGCGCCTCTCCCCACCACCTCGCACACCCTTGTATGCCACAGGGCTCAGGCGACGAGGCCCCAGCAGCAGCAGAAGGGCGAGCGACTGAGCCCGGGCCCGCCTCCCTCAATCAATTCCTCCGGTGGTGGATCCTTACCGGCGGCCCAAAGCTGCGGAGAGAAGGGCGGCGGCAGCGCTGTGACGACGATGGGTGAGGAAAGGGGAAGGTAACGGGGGGCTCAGAGCCCCCAGGCCTCGGCTCCGGCTCCTGCCCCGGGCACCATGATGGCGGCGGCGGCGGCGGCGGCGGCGGCGGCAGCTGCAACAGCAACGACTCCTTCCTGCAAGCAGCGGCGGCGGCAGGCGGGCGGGCGGCAGGCCGGTCGGAAAAGCGCAGCCGCCTCAGTCTTCTCCTGGCGGTGACAGCGACGGGCCGAGCCAGAGAGCGCCGCCGCCGCTGCTGCTGCCGCCGTCGTCGCGGTGCAGCTTGGGAAAGCGCCCGCAGAATCCGAACCCGGCACCAGAATGAGTGTGCTTCTCGCCCTTCCCTGAAAGGAACGGGAGGGAAGATGGCCCAGGAATAATCGTGAGGCGAACGAGCAGGAAAGGAAGGGGCGGGGGTCTGAGGGTCGCACGAAGACGAAGGGCCCTGAGGGAACGGGGGCATGGGAGTTGAGGCCTGCTCGTGAGTGTGCCAGTCAGTGCCTCTGAGCATGTGAACGCTGTGTTCAACTGTTGCCTGTCACTTGAGTGAGCACAGCCACCAGCCTCAAAGGCTGCCTAGGTCAAAGTCTTCCTGGCAGGCTTGGGCTTTGGGGCTGAAATTTAGCGCTGAGGATGAAGCACTGGAAAGCTGATTAAGGCAGTGGTGGGGGAGAGGTGTGCCACAGAAGGAGAGAATGGCAAGGGGCAGTTATCTGAAGGATGCACAGCAGAGGGGGCAAGGCTTAATGGCCTCTGGTCAAAGCCCCTAACCGTGTTACGTGTTTCTGTTTTGGACTATTTATGTGCAATGTAGAATGCCTATCACTTATCAGTTATGGTGGGCAAGGGACCACCCATCCTGGAAATATGGAAGCAGGTAATACAGATGTCTTAGTCCTTTAGTCTAGTTTTAAAAATATTTTTGATCCCAGATAGCTTTCACTGTACAAACCACAAGGCAATAAAATAGCAGTTGAAATACAGTACGGCAAATCAAAAGCATATCAGCATAATCAGAGCCAGCAGAAATTCATGTATAAAAACCTTTGCAGAATAATGGCACCTTCAGTAGCCACTTAAACCAGCAAGAAAGGACCTTGGAACAGTTGTTTGGAAATACTGCAGTTGCAAAACCACCACTGAAAAGTCACTGCCCCTGGTACCCATGAAGTTGAACATTATGCACAACTGGCCAGAATGCAAGGCTTCAGAGTTAAGGCTGGGCAGGTTCATATAGGTGCAGAAAGTCCTGCAGATTACCTGCCATCATTAACAGCTTAAAAGGTTAAAATCAGCAACTTAAAAAGGTTTGAATTGACCTTGGAAATAAACTAGAAATCAGTGTAGTTAGCCTAAATTCGGTCTGATGCATACTCTCTAGTTTGGTTCTATCAACAGTTTGGCAGCTGCATTTTGAACTGTGCAGTTTCCAAACCATTTTTAAATTTATGTATAACAAAAGTTGAGGTATACTCTTGCCTCTATCTCAGCTTTACTACTCTTGCAGTAAGTGCCCAGGAATTAAAGTGTTATAATACTGAAGTTAGTTTTTTCATATAAACAAGCTCAGTTAGAAGTTGCATTTGCCCCACCTTCCTGGGGACAGCAGATCTGCATTGGTATATCACAGTATAAGAACAGCCTCATATGTTCAGTTTAAGCCAGGTTTTAAAAAGTATAAGCCCCAACCCCAGTTTTAAGTGGCAGAACTCAGCCCTGGAACACCAAGGAACCATTTTCAAAATTTCTGAGCGTATGTAAAATGCCTTCAGTATTCAACAGAAATATATGACCCTTCTATTTAGATTGGAAGAATTATAACTTATGTTTCTATATTCACAAGAGCTGACCAAGAATAGAGCCTCCGCTTTTAAGTTATTCTGGGAAAATCCTCCATACTGCATTAACCCTGCTCACATATATTTGTGTGGTTAAAGTATATTAAGAGTAACAATGTACCCTTGAGTTTGTGCCACCATTGCCTTCTCCTCCAGCTTCCTCTTTCAACGCCTCTTTCAACATGTTTTTCTGCAAGTACTTTATGATATCCAAATAACCCTGAAGCAGGTCAATATTTTAATTTTATGACTGAAAGGGCCAAATCCAACAAGGCCAGCACAGAATTACGTTAGCTTTGGAAGGATGACTAAAGGAAACCTTGTGAAAGGAGAAAAAGTGCAAAAAAGCAAAGCTGGAGGCTACAAATGATACAATGAGACAAATGTAAAGGGGGCTATGACAGTGTGCGTGAGCAGCTCCTTAAGGGAAGGCAACAAAAAGAAATGAACTCAAAGCAGTTGCAGAACAGAATACTGAACAGAATAAATGGCAACATTTATTGATTGGAGCAAAAACAAGGATGAAGACACAAGTAGACTTTACAAAAATGAAACAGATGAAGAATAAAGGCTGCATCAGTCATCATACACTTAAGATACAGGAATCCAGTGGAAAAAATTGCTCAGCAGAATTATGCCTATGTACATAAGGACAGGCTAGTCTTGACCCAAAATTCCACTTAAGGTAACATTCTTTGTTGCAACACCTTGAGCATCACTTTGTATGGGAAATTAGTGCAATGGTCCTGTAATTGCTGCTACTCCTTTCTTAGGAATTGGAATTTATGTTGAACATTTGTAGTCTGTGGCTCATGGTTTTGTTTTCCATATTTATTGGCATCTTCTTGTTAGGAGTTCGACTAATTCAGTCCCTGTAGCTTAGAATAATTCTATTGGTATCCTATCTACTATGAGTGCTTTATCCCTCTCTTACTCTCTTTCTTCTTTTATTGTTCTGTTTCTTTGCACTGGTCATTGTAATTGTTCTTTTTGTCCCCATTTCTGACCATTTTGCTCGGCTGCTTGCTTGTCCTTAGCATGTGTTCTTCTGTCATCCATTCAGACTTTTTCTTTCTTTTTGTTACAGGACTGGTCTTTTGCATTCCTCCCATAATGTTGATGGTTTTAGTTCACAGTTCTTCTGATTCGTGGTCAGTTGAGTTCAGTAATACAAATCTCTTCTTTATGCAGAACTTGAAATTACTTAGGAATATTAAGTCATAGTCTGACACTGGACTTCTGTTAGTCTTTTTTTAGCTTTACCCTGATGTTTTATAATAGAAGTTCATGGTTTCTGCACTTGGTCTTGTTTTGGTTGCAAAAATGTAACTTCTCTATCTCTTACTTTAAATTACAAAATCTGTTTCCTATATTGACCATATATATCATCTTCTGCTCAGTTGCCTGAGGTATGCATTTGTGATAAATCGATGGTTGACATCACAGAATTTTATGAGTTATTTCTGCTTCATTTCTGACCCCTAGGCCAAATTCTCCCACAACATTGAATTCTGCTTTGTTTCCTTCTTTTGCATGTCTTGTTTTGGTGTGTTATCAATTTCCTCTTGAACAACTGCATCAGAATTTGATTGCTTCTTCAGCATCTGTTGCTAGAGCATAGATTTGAGTTATGGTTATATTGATAGGTTTTCCAAGAATTCTAATTGCTATTATTCAGTCAGACTTTGCATTACAGCCCTTTATTGCCTGTGCTGCATCTTGTCTCAGTATTAGAGTCACCCCTCTAACCCCATCACCATGTTAAAATGTGCATCCAAGAAGGAGAACTGTTACTCCCCTCTTGTTATTGTTTTAATATTGTTTTTTAATCATTGTTTTATCCAGACTGTTGTGTTGCCATTGTTAGATTGCATTTATATCCCACCCTTTTTCCTCTTGTGAGGAACCCAAGGGGTTCGTACATAGCTGCCTTTCATTCTTACAAGAATAAACTTGTGAAGTAAGTTGTGTGGCTGAGAATGTGTGGCTGGCCCAAAGTGACCCGGTGAGTTTCATGGCTGCGTGAGAACTAGAATCCATATCTTCTGAGTCCCAGTCCATCACTCAACCACTATGTTACAGTGACTCCCCTTCCCTTCATTGTATTTTAATATGAACCTGTTTGATATTAAAATATATTTAAGTGATATGAATGTATTTTAATTAACATATAAACAATGTTCAATTTTTTAAAAATCAGCATTGTTGTACAATTATATTAATGCTTACTTTAAAGGAAAACAAGGGAACAAGAGGAAACACTGACAAAATAGTGGTAGGGGCTGAATGGTTGATAAGTGCTTTGGCAAGAACATTTTTGCAGCAAAATACAAATATATATTAAAATATTAATTACAAAGACTATGCAGATAAAATGCTGCCAACTGTAAGGGTATTAATAAAGGTGTAAATCGCAAGTTATTTGTTTACCAGCAAGATAAGTCACATCAAACCTGTACTTCCCTCTAAAAATTTGGAGTAGCACTGAAAGGCTACATTTTTGGAGAGGGCTGGGGAAGTGGAGCCAAGAGGAGGGGCAGAAAGGATTGAGAAAGCTAGTTTGGTGATTAGGAAGACCAAAAGAATGCAGTTTTTGGGTGTTAGTGGTTTGGAATTTTAGGAAGTAATAGTTTTGGGGCAATCTTATTTGGGGAAAATAAATTAATTTTATAAGAAGGTGTTTAGAAGCTATTTGGGAACATTGTCTTGTCTTTCTGTGAAATGGATGTTTCCTTGGAGCAGAAATTGGGGCTTTTAAAGAGTATTCATGTTTCTCATTTAGACTCGCCTCTTTGGCTTCCTGTGAAATGGGTGCTTTGTTGCACCAGTAAATTTGAGTCCCTTCCCATGTAACCTTTCTCCTTTCCGATGGTGCCCACAATCCTTCCCCAAAAATCCAGATGTCCCTATGGGTCCAAAATACTGTTTTTTGCAACCTGAATAAAGACCAAAGAAACTTTGGATAAACACAGGAAAGCAATTTGTTTATGTCGTCTAGAAGTTTGTAAAAGGGAAGAGTACAAAGCACTGCTATTTCATATTGCATGCAGTTATGCACTGTATTTTATAGACCCCATCCCAGTGTCATAGGAAATTCATAGAGCAGCCTTTATAGGTTATGTTTCTAGTGTGGAGAGGGTATTGGAGATCAAGGGAACAGAAATAGGAATATGAGAATAATAAGATGCTCAAGTGACAGACACTCTTTTCAGAATATTTCACTTTTTAATGTGTTTAGCTTAGTACTCAGTTAAATTTAAATTTACATTGTATATATTTAAGCAGTATACACAGTGTTTTATTATTATTTGTTTATACTGAAATGAATTTTATAACTTTGATATGGAAAATCTCTCTCTCTCACACAC